CTTCTATAGAAAACTTTTAATCTTTTCCTGTACTCGTGAATTTCTGTGCTCACATGCTGGTAATATTTCCACATTTACACTTGGTAATATCGTCATTTTGCTACCCACTGGCACCTGCAGTCTTATTTAGCTTTCAGGCTGGTCAGCACAGCTTTCCATCCGTGACCTCAAACAAAAATTCTGCTTTGCAAAGAAAATCTTCCTCCTTATAAACAGAAACCAGCGGGCGATGTCAACTAAACGCCTTGACTGGACATTCAAGCAATCATTCAATGTCAAATATTTGCTTAACAGAAGTTTTTTCGGGGTTATTAGGTGAATCACTCAAGCTTAAAACGATTGTGGTCATGGGGAAAGGAACTGTTGAGAAACAGGACTTAAACCCTCGTTTTTGATGCCGAGCTGACCTCCAAACTTCACATTTCACTGCACTCAAACGTCACACTGCTTCCTTACTCGGCACTAAAGATAAACACAGAGCTGATTTTAGCTGTTTGAGCAGAGGGGCGGCGGCAGCCATGTTTCAGTCCCTCAGCGCACCTTCGCATCCTCAGCTGCCAACTCAGACCCCGACACACTCCAGCGACGCACGGTGCACTTGTTACCCCAGATCGCTATCGGTGCTACTTGCCTGTGCTTCAGTGTAATCGAGGCTGTTTGGCGACCCCACCCCAGCACCCCCCCCACCCACTCTTCTCCCCTCTGTCCCCTGTGAAGTCACCCAGAGGGCCAGATCACAGCAAAGCCAACATGTGGTTTGAGTTAGCGTCTCAGAAACCAGCCCTCCATACGTGGGGTTGTGTGCGTAATCCCAGGGCTCGCTGGTCAGGCTCTGCTTGTGTAGTGTGCAATTGTGAGCGCAGAGCTAATTGTGTTTGTGTGTGTGACTCTTTTTATAAATATATGCCAGGTTTTGTGAGTCTTAAAAGGAAGTACTATTTTGCGTGTGGTTGTATCCTCACACAGGAAGTCAGCATGCTCTGTCTCTGGGGACTGAACAAAACCAAGAACTAATTTTAAATCTCAAGAGTATTTAGTCGCGCTCTCACACATAAGCCGCATATTTCTGTCCATACTGTGTCTGTTTCGGCCTCTCTGGCTCTGCTGGTTGGACTGCGCAGCAGCCAGGTGGAGGTTTTGGCTTTCATCAAACTTTTATCTGCACGACATCTCAGGAAGCAGAGCAGGAGGGAGAAATGAACCGGCTCGTTCCAGCTATTTTCTCCTTTGCTGATTATTTGATTAAGTTCTCGCTGAGACAAAGCATCAGATTTTTCCCCTCTCTCTTTAGTCCACGTTAGCTCGATTTACTCTCTCACACTAAAGTCCCTAAGAAAGGCCATTCGAATTTGTGACCGCTCCGATAGGCATCTCCCCACTTGTAAAATCATTTTCTGATTGAACAGAGCGATGCTTGTTCAATCTGAATCCGAATTGAAGCAGACTAAACATAATAGCACTGGAATCACTTTAATTGGTTAGTGAAAATGAGTAATAGTGGCGTCAGCATGCGTGAAGAATGATGAACACGATAAGGTCAATCAACCAGGATAACATCGGAAGCTGATGGGAATAAAAGCATGAAAACATTGCTGAAAATCAGGCGGTACTTATTAAAAATGAATCACCTGTCAGTGTTTAGCAGTCATAACAAGTGAGTTAAAGCCAGAGTCTGAAGCACTTTTTACACATGAACTCGTTGGCAGCATCAGGAAGGAACAATTTTCCATTATGGAGAGTATTTAAAATGAAAGAAAATTTATTATTGACACATAATCAGGGGCATAGTCCGGGTTATCAAAGGTGGGGAGGGATCCATAGGAAACCATAAGATTTGTCATATATGCATACACATGTTTTAATGAAAAGGGGTGATGCAAATATTAAAATGTTGATACGAAAGGTCTGATAATAGGTAACTAAAGCTTTAAGATAAACAGCATGGAGTGCAATAATAATAATAATGGATTGCATTTATATAGCACTTTTCGGGGCCCTCAAAGCGCTTTACATTTCCACTATTCATTCACTCTCACATTCACACACTGGTGGAGGCAGCTACAGTTGTAGCCACAGCTGCCCTGGGGCAGACTGACAGAGGCGAAGCTGCCATATCGCGCCATCAGCCCCTCTGGCCAACACCAGTAGGCGGTAGGTAAAGTGTCTTGCCCAAGGACACAACGACCGAGACTGTCTGAGCCGGGGCTCTTTGAGCCACGATCGCCCCCAATATTTATGAAATACTGTGGAACAGATGAGGAAAATAGCACAAATACTTAAATAAATTACATTAAACTGATTTCAGGAAAGTCTTTAAGGAAATGTAATCACTTACACTACAGTCCTATCCATGCTCTGCCTGGTGATACTGGTCTCTTTTTAAGATTAATAGTACTTTAGCCAATGGAACTGGTGTCTCCAACTTGTCTTTTGTTGGCATTTGTTTATCATTATATCAAAAACTAGTTAATTTAGTTTGATCTAAAGTCTAATTTTGATCAGGGTTCATGTTTTTTTAATCATTTCTTGAAATCCTGGCATTGCTTAAACCCATGTTCATAGATTTTGTCCATGTGCTCGACCCAATCACCTGCACACGATGCTCATGTATGCTGATGTATTGACTTGAGCACATGAGATTATCCCTGCGATTCATTTCTTGATTTTTTAGGGAAATACAGACATTCATGTGCTTTTCAAGATGAAGCATCAAGCTGATTTTCAGTTTAGGCAAAGTAAATCTGTTTTCTCTCCAAACACGTTTTTTAAAAATATCTGTGCAAAAATGTGATAATGAAACACAAAAGAAACAATGATGCCAAACCACAACTAACTTTAAACACTAGTTAAACCTTTGAAAAATGTCACTATTGGGAATAACAAATTAGGTTTTGCAACGAGACCCCTGCAAGAAAAGTGATCTACACCAGAGCCAAATGTGCTCTGGGCACTCTGGCCTGAACTTTGCTCCGCTGGTTACTGGCCGTCCCACTGGGACCAATCTGTTTGTTGGTCCAGCGGTATATTTATCAACTCCTTCTTCTCAGTGGCACTGACATCCTGAGGACGTGGAGACTGAGGCACGAATGGATGGCTGGATGGATAGATTATTTATTTGTCGGGGTTGAAGATTACAGCATGGCAGTGCGAGCTGGCACGGGTTGATATTCCCAGAGATGGAGAGTCCTGCGTCTTTATATACCAGACCCCCTGACATGTTTTATTAACATGTTTGATTTGGTGAACTTGATACACTGAGTGGGTGGCTTTCCAGAATAAAACAACTCACTGCTGAACTGTGGAAAGACTCAGCACAAGTCATTTTATTTTAGCTGTGACGTCAAACTTACTCATTAGCTTTTCATCACATACTCGTCTTTTCTGTTTTATTGGCTCTGTGTCTTTTTACCCATGCATTGCCCTGCACCTGTACGAACACTCGTGGGTTCCAGATGATGAATCCCAGTGATTGTAGCTGAGACAGACACTCAGCAAATACTGAATACTATACTGGGATAACACCAAAAATGGCAGTTTCTCCATCAGTGTCCCCAAAGAGCAAATCAACAGCAAAAATGAACAAGTCGTCCACGACTAAGTCCAAGTTAGTCCAGTTCAGGCTGTTAAAGTCTTTAATCCAGCAGAAATGTTGTGAAAAGACAAAAGTGAAGCGTTTATGGGAGGACACTCGCCAACATCGTGAATGTTTTCTGGGCATTATAAAGGACTAAAAGTGGATCACGCCAAGTAATAAAAACAAAGGCTCTTAAACTGTTACCCTCACAGATAATAATAATATCGGATCCTTTTCTTAAATAAACAAAAAGTCCAATATTTTAATTTCCTTTCATTAGTTGCTTTTGTCTTTTTCTAGGACGTCTAGGACTAAAATCTGATGGTGCTGCGTTCATATTTATGCAGAAATTTGCAATATTTCAGCTGCTCTGGATCCTGTGGGTTGAACATTGGTTCCTCATTGGGTTGGCTCATCCTACAGGGTTTCAGCCTCAGTCCTGAGTCACTGGCTTGAATACTGTGTGCTGTTTTTCTTAAAGCTGTTAGCATGCTGATTACCACTACAAACTTGAAATACTGGAAGGGTTTGTGGTTGGAGGGTAGGGGTTTATAGAGTGTGCAGGATAGAGGACATGTTGTTCTCTTGCTGTATGATCCACAATATTCTAATTTCACTGTACTATTGTACGAAGTATGACTGTGCAATAAAGAGTTATCTTATGCTCCCGAGTTTGGGCTCACTGATCTCATGTTTCTGGCCAAGAAGCTTGTTTTAATGCATCCAACTAACAGCTCCGTGTTTTATTGGTGGGATGCAGTTTTATGTTGGAATGCTGTGTTTTTCCTCCAAACACTTCTCATTCCAAATCAGAAACTTTTAATCTAATTTAAACACAAAACATTGTTCAGCCTTGTTCACATGACTTCAGCAAACTGCAGAAAGGCACCAGTGATCTTTTTAGAGAGCAGAGGCTTTTCATCTTGATGCTCAGTGTCGTCTTGGTTCTGAGAGACTCATTTTAGATGCTACAAGTTACTCCAGGGCAGGCTTGGCCAACTCCAGGCCTCGAGGGCCGGTGTCCTGCAGGTTTTAGATCTCACCCTACACACCTGAATCAAATGATTAGTTCATTCCCAGGCCTCTGGAGAACTTGACATGTTGAGGAGGTCATTTAGCCATTTAAATGAGCTGTGATGGATCAAGGACACATCTAAAGCCTGCAGGACACCGGCTCTCGAGGCCTGGGTTTGGACACCACTGCTCTAGGGTCAGCTGTACTATAACACACCTCATTCTTGAAGGGATCTCTGTTGTCATTAAAATCGTTTAGTTTGAAGTCAGTCTGTTTGATTCTGGGTGGATGACTCCGCTGTGATGACTGGATGTGCACTGGATGGATTTCTTTGTGTCTCTTGTTTTACTTCTCATCTTCCTCTCATATAACAGACTCTGACACCTTGTGTTTCCCTTTCGTTGAGTGCAGTTGGAGAACTTCCTTCAGAAGAACAACAGGCGTGACGTTGCCAACATGCAGTCGCATGTCGTTCACAACCAAACGGCCACGATGCTGGAAATCGGCACGAACCTGCTCACGCACACAGCAGAGCAGACACGCAAGCTCCATGTGGTCGAAGCAAAGGTAAGGAGCTGCCAGTGAACCTGTCATCTGAAAACAGACTTTTGTGAGTTTATTCTCTGTTTTTGTGTCTCATCAGGTCCTAAACCACACATCTCAGATAGAGATAAAGCTTCTGGAGAATTCTCTGTCCACCAACAAGCTGGAAAAGGAACTGTTACTGCAAACTTCAGAGATCAGCCGGCTGCGAGATAAGAACAGGTGGGAAATGGTTTTGTTCTGTCAGCGTCTGCGTAGGTGGAAATTAATCATAAAACCAATTTAAAATCACTCTGAGTAAAGACAACGGCTAAAAGGACTACTTTTTCTACAATCGAATGCTTGTACACGGTTTGTTCTGACTCAGAATTGGCCTTTGGGGGACATTTGATTAACAAAAACATCTGCTGTCAGTTAATCGAGTTAATAAAACCTCGGTTAACAAAACTGGTTAAGAAACAAGAATAATACAGGAAGGGATTGAAGCCTCTTGGAGTGAGGCAGGATTTCTTTTTTCTGTAGAAGAACAACTCGGCAATAGTGAAGTTAGCACATCACAACCTTTAAAAGCAGCCAAGTGATCATGTGAGACTGACATCATACGCTTCTACGACAGAGACATGTCGCAAAGTAGCCGAACCTCATATAACCTCCTTTCTAACACTAATAAAGAGCACAGCTTGCAAAAGGAACATCATATTGTATTCATTAAGACTCCAGCTAGCAGCTGACCCTATAAAGTCACTGAGGTCATAGATCAGGTTAGCCTGAGGGTAGTTTTCCCATGCACTTTTATAAAACTAGACTTCTTTTGGCGTCAGAGAAATGAATCTGGGTTTGAGGCACTTCAGCACTGACTTTACTCTCAGAACTGGAGACTATGTTTATCTTTTATATACTATGACCTCATCAGGATCCCAATGTTATATTTTATCAAAACATAATGAAACTGATTGGATAATATGTGTATGACTGATGAGCTTTTCTAGTAGCTATTAATACATTTTTCGTTGCCCTCATAAAAATAAAGCCATTTTTTAATGAAAATGTAGCTGAAATATATCGAATCAAATGTTCATTTATGAAAATGATCATTAAGAAAAAATAGGTTTGCTGTAAACTGAATGTATACCAATCAAGTAAATTTAATTTTATCAGATTACATTAAATTTTATATTTTACATTCTACTTCTGTTATAAATTACATATAAAAATGTAAATTTAAAAAAAAGCAAAAGTCAGTATTTTGGGTGTAAATCTTTGTTTCAAGTGTTCCTGAAATCAAACAAACAAAAATATTCTGACTGAAGGTTTTACTTGTTTTATGACAAGTTTGGGTAAAAAGGTGGATTTATTTTGCTATTTTCTTAGTATAGTTAGTAGAGGTTTTGACAGACGTCAAACACATTGTGTGTTCTTGTATTTATTACAGGTGGTCTAATACATTTAATAAGCACTGTATATATAAGCACTGTATATTCACCTGTTTGCAGTTTTATGTATTTGGAAGTCAAGTATTTATTTTTTCATGTTCAGATGATGTCGTTGGATCAGGCTTTGTGTGCTCGGTGCTGCAGCCCCCCGTGGGCTCCTGCACTGTGCTTGCTGGGTCTTTCTTTCTTTTTTTCTTTTCCCTCCCCCTGGTCTTGTCCGTTATGGTTGTAATGATCCAAAATAAAAAAAATACCAATAAAATTCTAATAAAATGTGACTGTCAAGTGCACCATTATAACAAATGCCGTAATGCTCCACTTGTGAAAGTAAATCTGTTTGGCATTCAGAAAACAGTTCTGATTGCTACACTGCCGGACACGACAGCGAGAAAAAAAAAGACTGGAGAAGGCTTATATACATTATTTTTTGCAGTGCACACGAGGTAGCTGACAGATTTAGCATTCCTGCTACATACTGGATCTGCTTCTAGACATGATGTCAAAATGTTGCTTCTTCAACAGCGTGCGTCCATGATCAGCCTCTTTAATAGTGGCATATTTCTGAGATTTCCCCCGAGACAGATCAACATCTAAAACATATTCTGTTGCAGTCTGACAGGGAAAAAAGACGAGCAGCTTATCAGTGACAACATCTGAAATACAAGCAAATCATCGCAGCGACGTAAATATGTCCTCAGCTGTTACTGCAAGACGCAGAAATATTTGGAGACACAATATTTTTGTCATTTTTCATTGTGAGGTGAACTTGGACCGTGCACTGTGCAGTAAAACATGCAGAGCAATTATCGAGCATGTTTACAGTAACAGACAAACAGAGTGCGGGTGTGTGAGACTGTGGTGCAAGGGGACCATTCGCTGATGATCAGCCACAACATCAAAAGCACAAAGAAGTCGATAACAAATCAGTAACATTGATCATCTCGTTATCGTGAGATGTTCTGCTGGGAGCCCATCGTCCTGGCTTTCATGTGGATTTTACTTTGACACGTATGAAGGAAATAAGGCGATGAGACCTTTCTAAACAAATGTAGGTGTCATGTTTGGTCCAGATACAGAAAATGGGAAACCAAACCAGTCTGACAATGCAATCAAAGAAGAGCTGATAACATGTCAGATGACATGCTACAGATCTGAAATCTGTTAAAGTCCCAAGTTGGACTTTATCCAGCTTCATCTTCAAACTGAAGCCAAAGTAGATTGCATCACTGAACACATTATTAGCAACCGTGTCTAAGTTTGTGTCAACAAAACTGACGTCTTTGTGTCTTTTGTGCCCGATTGCTCCTGATTTCTAGGAGTAGAGACTTCTAGAAATCCTGAAACCATAAACACCCACACAATACATTTTTGGCTCGCATACTTTTGAGACCTCAGTAAAACAGCTGTCTGAATCTACAAGAGTACATAAACTTTGCACACACATTTTAACACACACATTCACAAACACCACTTCACTCATGCTGCACAAACCACAGCGATCAGTGGCTCCCCATCAGTCCACACCACATTAGCGTTTCCCCGTTCATGTGCGGGTCAGCATGTTGAAGTGATCAGAAGCAGAAGCTGATAGCGTGTTTCAGCTCCTAATGTGACCAAAGTCTCACCTGCTAATGTAGAATAACATCGGTCATCGCTGTAAACGAGCTGCATGATACAGCATGATGGTGGTTCACGTCTGACTTATGTCAGCTACACCTCTCAGAAAGTGGACGTGTGGTTGTAAGATTCATATTCACGTATTACAGAACTACAGCAGAGTATTGAAGCCTAAATCTTTTGATATCAGTTTACTTATTTATGTAGAAAGTGTGTAAGAAATAAGTGTTTACTGTATACTAAATTCAATTCTATTCTATTTTATTTATACAGTACCAATCACAGCAGCAGTCGCCTCAAGGCGCTTTATATTGTAAGGTCGACTCTCCAATAATACACAGAGAAAAACCCAACAATCATATGACTCCCTATGAAATACCACTTTGGCGACAGTGGGAAGGAAAAACCCTTTTAACAGGAAGAAACCTCCGGCAGAACCAGGCTCAGGGAGGGGCGGGGCCATCTGCAGTGATTGGTTGGGGTGAGAGAAGGAAGACAGGATAAAGACACGCTGTGGAAGAGAGACAGAGATTATTAACAATGTTAAATGACATTATGTGTCAAATGTTTAATCTTAAAATCTAAAAAACTGCAGAATTAATGGTCCTTTGAATCAGCCTCAAGAGACTGTATGGTTGGCTACTTAGCATGCTAACATGCTAATCTCTGACGGTAAAGACACGAAATCTTATTGTGGAGCATTTAGCTGAGTGTTTTGTTAAAAAAACAGATGTTATGAGTGAGGCGTGGATCTGACAAAGACACTACATCAGGGATGGGCAACTCCAGGCCTCGAGGGCCGGTGTCCTGCAGGTTTTAGATGTATCCTTGATCCAACACAGCTAATTCAAATTGCTGAATCACCACCTCAACATCTCTTGACGTTCTCCAGAGGCCTGGTAATGAACTAATCATTTGATTCAGGTGTGTTGACCCAGGGTGAGATCTAAAATCTGGAGGACACCAGCACTCGAGGCCTGGAGTTGGCCACCCCTCCACTGCATGATCACATGGATGCAGTCTGTCAATCACAACGTGTGTCCCGTCCTTCTCCACACTAACTGGGACCATCGTTTGCAAAATGAACATCATATTACATCTAATAAGACTTGCAACGCAGTGATTGAGCCCATAGTGCCACCAGAAAGGTGTTTATCAAGACAGAAGTGAGAAGTGGTCAGTTGGATTTTTATTGCCTGGCTGTTTGGTGGCTTTGGTGGAACCAACAGCCGTGATCAACACTAATGTACAGTGTAAGACCATGAGCATGGGTGTTGGATCCACATGGAGAAACTTTGACCCTTCAAAGTCTGAGTCTTCCTCATCAGCTATTTAATACTATATTTAAAAGAAGTGTTCTGATAATGGCTGCCAGCAGTTAGTGTGTATTCAGCATATTTTCACCACATAAGTCACTTAGATGGAGCTTATTTGTAGAAACATTTAAAAGAAGATAACATTTTTCCACTGGACTCCTGCAGACCAACGCACTCTTAGCGAGTTTGAACTAGAAGTTCAGCCACTTCGAGTGTCCCACGTTCCCCTCTGAAACTCCTGCCACTCCTTCATCGGGTTTCATTCATTTGGCTCATACTTTGTTGACCCAACTGTGGGCTGGAGTCTATTTTCAGCAGCTCTACTGCTGGTTCAGCTGCACAGATAACGAGAACTGTAGTCTGATCTGGCACCAGAAATGATGGTCGCAATATTAATCTTTATTTCGCTGCTGCAGCTTCGCTAATGAGACGGAGTAATTCGGGAGGTAAAAACTCCGCTCCATCAAAAACAGAATAGAATATAGTCTTTCAGACCACCTTAATGTTTTTATCAAGATTTTGCTGCTCCTGCTCTTCACTTGGATGTAATTAGGATTTCTCAGGAAAGCCTTCATTTCTTCCTCTGTCCTATGCTGCTTGTTTGCATGCGTGTAAAGCTATTACAAGGGTAGAAATCGTGACTGAATAAAGTGAGCTGTTCCAGAACCCTTCTAGTTTACATTTTGGTTTTGTAAGTGTGGAATCTCCTGGGCCCTTTTCCATTATTTCTTTACAAGTGTTTGTGTAACACCAGGCCTGCAGCACTAGAAAGGCAGCTTTTCTCTTTGCATCTGAAAAAGAAAGAAAAAAACAACCTGCACAAAAACTTGATCTCCCAAAAAATAATATTAGTCCTCAGGTTTTAAAAGACTCATACAGACAGTGGAATTTGTGCAATCTTGCAAATATCACAGAACAATTACTGACTCACATCTGAACTGTGAGGCAAACTGCGAAACCGCGTGCAGCGAAGGACACCAGCATCTCTTATGTTTAAGGAAGATTCTTATTTCTGTTGTGATGATATTACTGAGTCTCATTTTTCCTTAGTACAACAAAAAATAGTGTGACAGCAGAGTTTATAACAGAAAGCCTTTGTATTCACATTTCCAGATATGAAAAATGTAAATCTAAGTGCAACGTATAAGAAAAAATATAGCACAGGAGCAGAATGAGAAGCATGAAGTGATGGACTGCATATGCAAACCCAGTTAGGATTTTCAGCCTGTGCATCACCCAAAACCCTCCATCACCACAGTTCAACATGACTCTTGATAAAACTATTAAAACGTCACCATTACTCTCGTCCTCTGACGGGATGACTGAGACTGTTATTCATTCAAGAATAAAGAAAATAAACTTTTGTCTAAAGTGAAGTCTCGTTTTATTTCCTGAGATTTTCTTCTGTTTTTCTTTTTGTTGCTTTGTTTTGCACTTTAGGGCCACCGCAGTCTAACCTGGTTAAAAGCAAACAGCATGCATAGAGCTGATAACACACATGAGTCAGAAAACTCACAGCAGAGCATTTTATTAACTTTGTTGGTTGTATCATCAAAACACAAAGATCTACTTTGTCTTTGACTTGTGTAAATTATGCAATCAAAGCATTTTTGCAGTTTCTTTGGTTTACTTTATGGGAAAAAGCTCTGAAACAAAAACTGTGCTGCTGTGAGCTGAGTTGTTTTTTTCTTTTGTTTCAGTCATTTGGAGAGCAAAGTTCAGATGTTGGAGTCTAAGCAGCGAGGAGAGCTGGAGGACATGAGGCAGGAGAAGAATAGACTTCAAGTTAGTAAACCTTTGTAATTTTATATATCACCATCAGAAACATTTTTAAGTTTATGAAATCAAATATCAACATGGATTTTTGCCTCACGTGATATTTGCAAGCCCAAGTGGTTTAAAAACCACAAGCTTCTAAACTTGAGTGATAAATGTTAATTATAGAGTTTTAAGCACGTAGATGATGATTTCACTGCTGTAATCTGGGCTGTCTTGGCGAGGGAAAGTCAAACATTACAAGAAATGTTAAAATCTGTAAAACTGTTAAATCATTAAAAGTAAAAAGTCAAAGTAAAGAACAAAAAAGTACATTTTCAAGTCTGTGGGGATGTAGAACCAAAAAGCAGAAAATGCTTAAACAGCAGTGAAACTTTTTTCTGGCTCAGTCCGTCATCAGGACTCAGATGGCGGCCATCGAGTCTTTAGAGAGGCGGCTGAGAGTCGCCAGCACCAACAACACCGCCCTGCAGAGACAACAGACGCAGCTGATGGAGTCTGTCCACACGCTCCTTAACATGGTGGCTAGTACTACAGGTACACACACATACACACACAGGTACACATGTAGTATTTTTCACACAGTACATTTATATTTCTCACAATCTTCTGGCGTTTTGATGTAGCAGCTCCTCCCAGGAGCCAGATGTGGAGGGACTGTGCAGATGCTTACAAGGCCGGTCACTATGTGAGCGGCCTGTATCACATCTACATCGGCAACAGGACTGAACCTGTGCAGGTAACGCCTCAACAGCAAACATGTGCAAACATTTTTGTACATTAAAATGTTTATAAAATGGCTTTAACAGGAGTTTTCTTATCAAACTCATTTTTTGTCATGTTTCCTGCTAGCTAACAACTGCCCTTAAAAATCAGCTTCAACGATTATGTTTAAATGACCTCAAAATGTTCAACAGAAAGAGAAACTGTCTTTATATTCAAGTGTCTTTGTATTTAGAATAATGTGATTCTAATAGTTACAGTTAATATAATTTAAATCATCATTGGTAGTTAATGATCAGTCATTTCTGTTTCTCCCCCTGAAGGTTTACTGTGACATGGAGACGAGTGGTGGAGGCTGGACAGTCTTCCAGAGACGGTTTAATGGCAGCGTGGACTTCCAGAGGAGCTGGAGGGAGTACAAAATGGTGCGTTTGTGTCACAGTCACCAGGATTTATCTCAGTCCCAAAGTTTGAGTTATCAGTGTAAAGAGTGCTCCTCTTATGATTCTCCCTGCAGGGTTTTGGGGACGTGTTGGGCGAGTACTGGATGGGTAATGAAGTTTTGCACCTGCTGACCAATCAAGGTGTCTACTCTATGAGGGTGGAGATGATGGACTGGGAGGGAAACTCCGCCCACTCCCACTATGACCGATTTACACTGACCAGTGAGCGACAGCAGTACAGGTACAACCGCAGTCCAAACACACACACACAGACAGTGTTTTACTTTAATGTTTTTAGAGTTTATTTTTACTATAATAATGAAAATAAAAAGCTGCTGATTACATCTGAAGGCGTGTATAACATTCAAACTTGAACAGACTAATATTGATTGTTTTGGAAATACTGCTGTGTTGTAACTCTGCGATTTATTTTCCTGCTATTAATTATAATTAAATTGTTAATGACATGGTGAGACCACAGATTCATAAGCCCCAAAAATGATGTCCTGAAATTGTTGATCTTGTCAGCTGAGGAAATGAGATGCTGCATTATTCAGAGTGTCTGTGGGGAAAAAAACACTTTATAATTTATTAGTTGTGAAAATTGCTGTTAATTTGATGAAAACTGATAACACTGCAGCTCAGCTTGGGGAACTGTTTTTGGCATGCTTCAGTGAGTGGATGCACTCGTCTGTGATTGTGTTGAGCAACAGAAAGATTTTCACACAGCTTTATAAAAACACCTTATGGAATTCCATTAATTCCATAAAGCCGGTCCCATGGGTGGTCAGAATTCAGTGAATTCCATAAAGGACCAACACACTTGGTCCTGCCAAAAACAGAGTCACCAGATGGTGATCCGCTGGATTAACTGCCTCATAGATGTACTGTAAATACGTCCTGTCTACAAGAAAAGATTAAATCAGTGTTTGTTTCATCAGATCTTGTCCTCCTGTGTGTCTCCTCTCCCTCAGGTTGTATCTGAGAGGTTACAGTGGCACAGCAGGGAAGCAGAGCAGCCTGACCACCCACGGGTCCGGCTTCAGCACCCGAGACAAAGACAACGACAACTGTGAACACTGCAAATGTGCCATGATGCTCACTGGAGGTAGAAGCTTTTCTGTTCGTCAGCAGTTTAAAGCAAACAAATGAAATAAACGAGATTATGTATTGGAAATACTCCATAAAGTTGAGATACTAAGATATTTTTGAGAAAATAGAAACACTGCATGCATTACATGGACAAAAGTTCTGGGTCATCCCACCTACAGGAGCTGCTTGGCCATAAACGTGGGGCCTTTTACGCACTCTGTGACCCCGCTCTGAAACTTTACATGCTCTCACACTTCATGGCTGAGTTCCTGTGATTCGTAAACACTTCCACTTAACAACACAACTTACAGCCGGTCATGGAAGACCTAGGAGGATCGTGGAGCCATGTTTGAAACCATGGAGCATGTTTCAGTGAGCTCTTTAGAACAAGCCCGTGTTTCACAAATGTCTGTAAAGGCATAGATAGGTACATGATTTTATACACCTTTAGCACGTGGGCTAAAAACACCTGAATTAAAAAATAATAAGGTTCAGTTCAAATTTATTTATAAAGCACAAAATCACCGCAACAATCACCTCAGCATTCTTGGATGTAGTCTGTGTGTTGCAAAGACACAATTTGACTTAAAACCATGAAAACCATGAAACAACTGGATACATTTATTGAACGTTTACTACTGACATAACAAATAAAACACACATGATGATTCACAAATACATTGTTTGCTGTTTGCAGATCAAAATTAGCAGTGTTTCCCCCCAAAGTTCTGCTCTTTCAAACATCTGTCCCCATCATCTTTCACTGCACCACCCTTCATCTCACGCCAACGCCAAGACAAACAGCTCTTTAGACTCCCCTCGATTGGCTGTGAATTAACTTAATCGTTTCGGCAAAACGTCAAGTCCTTTGAGAAAAAGACGCCAGTGGTCACCATTAGACAGTGAGTCATTTAAAATCACAGCAATTTACTGAGTGAAAGAGAAACGGTGACACAGACGAAATAAGAAACCGAGGGGAGTAACAGTAAGGAGAGAGATGAAGAACAGAAACATGTACAGCTACAGTTTTCTCTCACGGAGAAATTTCAGTCAGACTTTGAAAATGACCCCCAAATATGGAAATAATATAAACTTTCTAAAAGAAAAAAAAACATCCTGAGATCAGGAATTAAAGTATTATTTTCGGACACGTGTCACTTATTTACAAAACTGAGAAACAGATCCCAGTGGGTCCCCCTGCTGACATTTTATTGCTTTTATAGTCACTGTTAAAAACTTTTTATGTTTGTCAAACATTTCTAATTGTGTGCAGGCTTAGAACAAACATAATTATAAATCTAAATGGAGCTTAAACAGAAATGTGTCCTGTTCTGTGTCCTGTACTGAGGAAACTCTACAGATATGAGTCTTGTGTGATTATTTCAGAATGACATTCTCAGTACTAAACAAATATCAGAGAGGACATGCCACTCACTCAAAAAACACTAGCTGTATATCAAAGACGGCAGCCACAGTGACATCACTCACTGGTTTCTAGACTCTTTAAAACTTTGACCAAAATCAATGCAGGGAACTGTTCTACTTTCTATTCTTCCCTTTCAATAGAAATTAAGTGCAAATTGGCTTTAGGGCAGCAGAGGGCGCCCGTGAGTCAGTGACACTGACTCAAGTGGCACTTCAGTATTGTGGTGAACATTTATGTGTGTGAACATATTTATTGGCAAGCTCAGTTAGCAAGCTGCTTTCAAAAACTTTATGGGTGCATCACAAAAATACAGATATCTGCTAATATCTGCTCAGGGGATTGGGAAGCTCATCTGTAACCGGAAGGTTGCCGGTTCGATCCCCCTGCTGTCTCTGTCCTGGTCGTTGTGTCCTTGAGCAAGACACTTTACCCTACTGCCTACTGGTGTTGGCCAGAGGGGTCGGTGGTGCGATATGGCAGCCTCGCTTCTGTCAGTCTGCCCCAGGGCAGCTGTGGCTACACCTGTAGCTGCCTCCACCAGTGTGTGAATGTGAGAGTGAATGAATAGTGGTATTGTAAAGCGCTTTGAGGGTGCCTTGAAAAGCGCTGTATAAATGCACTCCATTAATAAGTGCTAAAAAACAAAGAAACAAACAAAGCTCAAACTTCTTTAACCATCTATTAGTGCAGCTAACTGCACAACAAGACACAACCTAACAAGCAGCAAACTAGCAGAGTTGCGACAACCAGCACACCTGTCAATCAAAGAAACTGACATTTGAAAACATGGGTTACATATTTATGGTAACTCGTCACAAATGTGCTCTGTAATGCTATAAAGAATTAATGAGCACTTTGGGAGCGTAGGTCCGGGGACCCAATCACAGTGGATGAGACGCCGTTCTTTACCTGTTAGTAGATTTTCACAGATCATTTCTGTTTTTCAAAGCAGAACTTTTCTTGTTTTTATGCTCATGTTGTTTTAATGTTTGCAGCCTTCATCTTTGTCTTTATGGTAGTCAATGCATGTAGTCGATAGACGCTTTGAAACTCACCCCACGTGATGCCACTACGCCAATCAAATGCTTTATTCAGAAAACTCAAAGGAGGAGACGAGACGTGAGACGAGGGATTTAAATGTGACTTGGTTCACACATGAGAGGTAGTTAAGGAAAAATAAGAAAAGGGAAAATCAAACTACACTTTTTCATTATTTTAAGTTGAGCACTTTTTTGAAAACAACTTTTTAAAAAAAAATTTAATTTATTTTTTTTAATACAAACTTTATTTTACTTGAAACGATTAAAGACCCACAGTTCATTATAAAAATATTAGTAAACATTGTTGAAATAATGTTGAGTTGTTTTCTCTAATTGGACCTAAATAAAAACATCTGGCAGGTTCACATTAGCTGTCACTCCTCCATTCAAAATATGCTTCAAGTGCTCCTAAAGTAAAATTGTACCACTGCAGTCTGCTTGTTTTATTACTGCATTAGTGTTATTAGTTGGCTTTTGTTTCTCACTCCCTCTTGCCTCCATCAGGTTGGTGGTTTGATGCCTGCGGTTTCTCCAACCTAAATGGTGTGTACTACTCCATCGGCCATAACATCAGGAAGCTTAACGGCATCAAGTGGCACCACTTCAAAGGTCCCAGCTACTCTCTGCGCGCCACCTCCATGATGGTACGACCCTACGACTTTTAAAGGCACCTTTCACCCTCCACAATGGTTTGATCCAACGGAGCTTAAATACCACAGCGGTATCGACCTTCAACTCCTCCGAAATACCATCCTAATGATAGCAAAGCTTCAAAACAATGGCTCCCACCTTCACCACCATCATGGTACAACCCTAAAACACCTCTTGGATATGATATGGTACAGCCCTGAACTGAGGAAATAGTGACTTTAAAACAATAATGGTTAAAGTCATGTGACTCGTGAGGACCTTGTTTGTTACATGTCTCCTGGACTTGTTTTCATAACCAAGGATCATATTGAGGAAAATAAGGGATGGATCATGTAAGAACATATCTCGTCTGCTTGAAATGTGATTGTCCTTTAAATATGATGATAACGACACACATTTTCAGCCAGTCTGTGCTGGAAGCTATTAAAATGGTTGTGCTGGTTTGTACACATGAGAAGTGCCAAAAGTGTTCACCCACACAGCCAGCCAGTCGCTTGAGACGTGGGTTGGATTGTTGCTTTTGGGTTGGAAAAGGTACACTCTGTGGTACTCAGTCACTCCACCCCGGCTGGTACAGAAAGGGTGACTGAGGGGTTTCCAGAGCTGGAGCATACTGGCAGCTTCACGGTACTTTCCTATATGACATTTGAGAATGTGTTTAATGGTAAAAGGCATGAATGTGGACCCTCATAGCTCACCTGGTAGAACAGGCATCGTTTCTACTGAAGGATGAGTTCGCTACTGTAGCCTGGGCTGCCCCCATTAAACTGTCACTGTCTAATAAAGACTGTAAATAGGAATAAATAATATTATCCACAAATCTGAATTAAAATCTGTGGCTAGCATGAAGGTATTCACCTACTTTTTTAGGAGGGAATACGAGATTCTCTTTGATGTTATCAGTGTGTTTATAGTGCCACTATCTATGACCGGCACCGAAACACAGACAAGATTTAGATAGCTGATGTCCGTGTCTATGGGAGGTGCTACGGCCTCTGGCTGCCATATCACCTTCCCATGGACCCAACGTCTGCTTCTCAGATCTGTTGAGATGAGGACAGTCTGCACCAGCACAACAATGGAAAAGAGGTTTGAGTGATTGGCTGGTTTTTGGTCTTTGGTGAGCAATTGCATTACATGTGCCATGTGGAAGCACTGCAACATGTTAATCAACAAACCAGATATTTCACAGACAGTGATTGTTTGTTAACAGATATCAAAAGACTGGAGAGACTGCAGATTTCTGAAAATGTACTTTCCAGATGGTACACAGGGCAGCAAATTATACAAACCCATCATTTTTGTAGTGTGATTGTGAAACCTCAGCGCTAGTGTTTTGGTCCCTGCCATATTGGGCTCTTGCAGCCAGAAGTGGCCATACTTGGATAAAAGGGTGGCGTTCTGAGTTACCAATTCCTGGAAATCTTGGTGAGGAGCTTCATCTCTCAAACAGATCCCTGCAAATTGCTAACACACTATTCAAATACTAGAATTTCACTCATCAAAACTGGAGCGCAAACTTTTTGGACAGCCTGCACCACACAGCACGCCAGGCTATTAGTCAGATAATTGTCAGATCAAAACTGCTCCAACAGGGAGCAGGATGGCAAACATGATGCAGCGACTCTGAGCAGCAGCTCTATGACAGCTCGCAGCCACAGCAGCCTGCAAGCCTCCAAATACTGAAAAGGTGAGTTAGCAAAAAATATTTACAACCTTGTTTTTGTTGTAAGGACTGAATGACCTCTATGAGTTTGTCCTGTGATTTCTGTTGCTGCGAGTCTTTCTACAGAAAACGTCTATGTTTAAGAAAACGTTAATATAAGGCGAGAAAACAAGCAGTGAGGATATTGGAGTTTATTACACGGACAGCTTAATACTGAGAGATATGTGACTGAGCAAAGAGTGGAGTTGGCTTTCACAACCCACTTTTACTTGGACTGTTTTTAAAGGAAGCCAGCGTTTCCACATGTTTATCAACAATTTTATAAACGTGGACGCTAAAGCTGGTGTGACTGCCAGAACATGAATCAGATCAAACTGATGAAACCTGAGAGTCACGTTGAGGATTGATCTGATTAGCTGGAACAACATCAGGAGCCACAGCGGATGATGTCCAGCAGGAGAAGGTGATTTTCTTCCCACTCACCTCCTTTGGGCGGTGGTGGACGGTCCATCCTGGGTCCTCGTGTGAGCCTGGACGTAATTGTGGGACGTCTTAGATGCCGAATCAGCACATCTCAGATTCTACTTACCGTGCACAGTGTTGATTGAAGCTTGTGCATCATAAATAGAGAATCATGCAGAGGCACGCAGCTGGAGAGACCCTGAACGCTCTGGTTTTCATTATTGGTCAAGAAATAATGGCAAGCAGATTGAGTTTTTTCATGAATAAGTAATCGCATGTTTGCATATGTCAACACTTAAAGAACTTTACAGGAAGAAAGGAGGCAAACAAAACGCAGATCAACCTTTTTCAGCTGTTTTTGTTTTGAACGATGAGCAAAGAAAAGAATTCAGTGAAAGTGAACTACACGCCAGTGATTTACCAGATTCTGAAGCAAAGTATTGTTGCTATAATTATCTTCCTAATACGAACAATATTGTTTTTTTGTCTCTTGTTGGTCTCTGCTCTTCATTACTGCACAAAAAAACAAAATTCCCATCGCTCTCATACAAACAATAAATGATTTACAAGATATGATTTTATGATTTCTGGTTGTGAATTTCTCATTTTCTGTCTCATGAAGGCGCTTTCAATCTGTGGGCCCCTGCAGCCGGGCAACCAGATAACATGCAGTGAAACTGAGGCTCCATTAAAATTGTGCAGTTGATACATTGTAGCTGCGTGAACTGCAGCATCTATGGTCCACTTGGTGGTAACATGCAGTGAAAACATCATATTGATTAACACAAGGATAATGTCTCTGCTGAATGAGATCTAATGGGCTCACAGTGGTAATGTGCTAATTGCAACAGCTATCAGTCTGCCAAAGTAAACGTGTGTGTAATAATCATTTAAACACGAGCGTAAACTCAGTCAGTTCTGAAGTTCTCTACTTTTCACGCCGTTTAAAATTCATCAGAGTCCAACATCAGCAGAGCAACGCAGACACACGAGAGCAGAGATTCAGCACAGGATGATAAATCAAGCTTAAAATGTAATTATATAACTTATGTTCAGAAAATAAACACATGTTTTAATGCTAGCAGGTTGACATTTTTGTAATTAAAAGTCAACTTGGGTCATGTTTTTAATAAATAAAGGAAAAATGTTGTAGGAGTGTGGGGGCGTGAACATTTTTGGCTTCTGATGGGGGAGGCACGCCAGAAAACGTCTGAGAAACACTGATGTCATTCTTCTCATCTGTCAGACCGTGCAAACACACAAACACACAAACACACACACACACACACACACACACACACGTAACAAGTTTTACATTAAACCATAAGTAACTGACACTAACTAAAACAGAGCTTGGAAAGAGGCGTCTGTCAAGAATTTCATTACAGCTTTCGTATCAGTTTTAGATTTGTTCTAGGTTGTGTGGGTGGGTGAGAAAATTCAATCCCGTGTCTTTGGTATTTGGTATTCAGTATCGGAGCACTAGGTGCGGTGACTCCCAAGCTAGGCGAGTGGCTCCAGCAGATCCCGGGAAAAACATCGGAGATCTCTGTCCAGAAGAGCGCAGTCCTGGGAACAGCTAAGATACTGCGCAGGACCCTCAAGCTCCCAGGCCTCTGGTAGAGGACCCGAGCTTGAAGGATAAACCGCCCGCAGGGGCGTGCTGGGTGTTATGATATATATATATATATATATGAACTAATCAGTTAACTTTTTTATGACACATATATGACACATTTTACTTTTTAAAAACATTTGAACATGTTATCACACAAACTACAAGAATGTTTAATGCTTCATTAAATTCAGTTACTACGAATTTGTGGTGGTTTGAGGCAGGAGTGCACTCTCAGTCAAACACCAAAGATCACAAATGAAATTCTTACCTGATCTCGTCTCCAGCAACCACAGAATTTCAGGTTTATTGTCATTATTATCATTAAAAAGTTAATTATCCCGACTTATTATTCTTGAGGAATTTGTGAAGACCATTAATTTGTTTGCAGTTTTTTGAAGTCTTTTAATGAATCCTTCTGATGTCATGGTCTTTATGGTCTTAAGATGCACTTTACAGGAGTGAAGCTGAGGGCGGGTGGAGTGTGTGGCTGGTGTCTCTGTTTTGTACAGGATGTTGTTCTGCAGTGAGGCTCGTTTAACAAGTTTCACTTTTCCAGGGTTAAACCTGTTTTTTATGTACTGCACACATGTAGTGATGCTTGTCCACTTAACACTGAACAGCCTGCAGCTGTACAATAAAGTATGTTATTAAAAACTGCTTTCACTGTGTGATGTTCCTCTTTGACCTGAAAGCACAATGACAGTAAATAATATTTTCAGTAAATACTTACAAAGATGTGCTTTTACATCTTATCATTTTAGAATGTACAGACTTTTGGTACTATGACCATTGGAATCTGTAGTTTAAGAAACTTTTCTTTGCAATTGAAATAATGTTGTTTTATCTCAATCCTGCATTTACTGAACTTATAGATACAGCGGGGAAAATAAGTATTTGACACATCAGCATTTTTATCAGTAAGGGGATTTCCAAGTGGACCATTGACACAACATTTCCACCAGATGTTGCCATCAAGCCAAATATTGACGTCATACAAACAAATCAGAACATATAAGTATACAAGTTAAACCACAATAAATAAAGTGAAATGACACAGGGAATAAGTATTGAATACATGGAGATAACAAGGGGCAAAATGACATAGAAAGCCAGGAGATCACCTGAAATCTGTCAGTATTGATAGAGAAATCCTGTCCCCTATCAGTACCAATTGATATCAGCTGCTTTAGTCCTAATTGATGGCCTATAAAGGCTCCTCATTACCCAGAAGGCACACAGGAAAGACTTCATGATGGGTAAAAGCAAAGAACTCTCTCAAGATCTTCGTAATCTTATCGTTGAAAAGCATTTTGATGGGAATGGTTATAGGTGCATTTCCAGAATGCTGAATGTTCCTGTGAGCACTGTGGGGGCCATTATCCGGAAATGGAAAGTGCATCAGTTCACCATAAACCTGCCACGATCAGGTGCTCCACGCAAGATCCCTGTCCGAGGAGTCCAAAGAATAATCAGGAGGGTTCTCCAAGAGCCAAGAACCACTCGGACAGAACTTCAGGAAGACCTTGCATCAGCAGGTACTGTTGTTTCAAAGAAAACTATAAGCAATGCACTGAACCGCCATGGCATCCATGCACGCTCACCACGCAAGACTCCATTGCTGAACAAAAAGCATGTCAAGGCTCGGTTAAAATTTGCGCAACAGCATTTGGAGAAGCCTGTGGATTATTGGACGACTATAGTATGGTCAGATGAAAGCAAAATTGAACTTTTTGGCAGTCATTCTACACACCATGTTTGGAGAAGAAATGGCACTGCTCACCACCCCAAGAACACCATACCAACAGTCAAGTTTGGGGGTGGAAGCATCATGGTTTGGGGCTGCTTTTCAGCAAGGGGTACTGGCAGACTTCATATTATTGAAGGCAGGATGAATGGAGAGATGTACCGGGACATTCTGGATAAAAATCTGCTGCCATCTACCAGGAAGCTAAAAATGAAAAGAGGGTGGACATTTCAGCAAGACAATGATCCCAAACACAAGGCCAAGGAAACAATGAAGTGGTTTCAAAGAAAGAAAATCAAGTTGCTTGAATGGCCCAGTCAATCACCTGAC